TTTTTTTAATTCTTGTATCTATTGATGTCGAATTGAGTCTTTGTCAAAATGAGCATGTAATCCACATTAAATACTAAAGTAATGAAATTGAATATTTCATTATTCATCTTCTTTAGATATGGATGTGAATTATACACACTCCATGAAAATTTTTGAACTTTAATGAGCATATCAAAGCTTGCATTTCATAGCTTAAGAACTTGCTTCAATTCATATAAATACTTTCAACAAACTAACTTTCCATGACATTCCTTTTCAAAATCAACTAGTTTTTTCATTTGTATTTTTTATTTTCAAGATCCGTACAAAAATGTTGTAACTACGTCCATCTAGTAATAACCAAACTAAATATTGCAACTAGAGTAGATATCAGTCAAATTGTAGCATATTTTGCTACAAGTGGAAAAAATTGTGTTGCAATCAAAACCTTTTTTGTGTGAAATTTGAAATCATCATTCTACTTTTATCATGCATTGTACTTCGTTGTTCAGCTTGAATATCCATTTGTAATCAATCAAAGCTTGAATTTTTTTAAGCTTCACTAACTCCCAACTTTATTATTAATATCAAAACTACATCTCAAATTTCATAACAACATTCGACTCAAACTCATTGATTGATGCTTGAACTTATCTTTAAAGAAAATGTTCTACTTCTTCCAAGATAAATGCAATGAGTTCACCTTACTTTTTATCAAAATCAAGATCTTTAAAAATAAATAAATCACTACATAATACATATTTTATTGGAACCCTGATAGTTTGATATGATGATCTTTCAGTACACGATTTTGATTGATCTATATGCTTGAGTGTCATCAATGATAAATTGCTCTATCAATTGCTGTTTTTTAGGAATTTGTTCCATTTGTAGAAAAATTTCACATTGTAAATCGCATAATGATCAATTTTTTTCCAACAATATTCATGATTGGAGTTTTGTATTTGTTAGAACGAGAGCATCAAAAATCATGAAAAAACTTCTAGTCATGTGTACTAGTTTATGATATTATACGTAAAACATCTCAAGTCAAGATTTAGTAAAGTTGACTTCACTGCACATGATAATGTATTCTAGCATGTATAAATAGATACGTTTAGGGAATCTTATTATAATTTATCATTTATTTTACCCTCAACCATTTACTTTTGAAAATTTCAATCAAAAATTTGAATCTAACGTTCCAAAATATACCAATATTTTTTTCATATTAGGAATAAATATTACTTGAATTTATACATGTTGGATTACATCAAACATTTGAATATTAAGCATTTTCAATTTAAAAGATTTATCATTTTTCATAAAAGTTGAACCGTTTGATATTAAAAAAATACTAAAAGAAATTCTAACATAAAAAATGTGATACCAACCGTAGCCTCAAACAACATATTTCTATTGTCATAATTATCTCATTGTTTCAAAAACAATATTTATATATGCAATAAAACTATGCTCACAACTTATTCTTGAAGATTGCTCCAATAGTTGTTGTTATAATTTGAAAATTTTGATTTCAACGTTTTGCTTAACTCCATAATTTTCAACTTGACATTTATTTTTTTATTCCAAAATAAAAGTCATCACGTATGTAGCATTGTACTTGACTATTTCATAATCAAATCTTAATGTTGAGATTACTCTACATTATGTGTAAGATAGGAATTCATTGTACTTGACTTCATCATAATCAAATCTTAATCTCGAGCATGTGTAACATAAATAAATTTTTTGCAATGTACTTCAAGCTCTTAAATTACCAGTATCTAGATGTCCACCATTTATTATATAAGTTATCATGTGGTAAACGACGATCAATTGGAGTTTTATGGCTTTGACAATATTACTTTCAGTGGAAATCCGTGATAGATGATTTGAATTAATATTTTTCCAAACAACACGTAGCAGGTTTTATAGATAATAAAGGGAGCCGTTAGTCAGATCTCACTTTTCGCTATTCAACACTCATCCCCAATTTTGAAAAGCGCGTCTAAAACACCACTTACATCACCATGGATCGTTACCAAGAACTTACCATAGCAACTTATGCTAGTCTGAAGGCTGTCCGCGCGGCTCTAAATCGGAGCGCGAGAAAAGTGCGCATGGGTTCTTTAGAATTGGGGATGAGTGGTGAAAAGCAAAAAGTGAGTGGTGACTAGCGGCTCCCATAATAAATTGGATTTTAAACATAAATTTAGGTTTATGCCCAAACGATTAGCCTTTATCGTGAAACCGTGCTTGATAGTCTTCCATCACACGGCTTTTCAAGAACCTAGGGCTGGATCTGTAATATTGGTAGGAATTTTTTTTTTAATTTGGAACCTATGGTTTTTTAAGATCTATTTTCCAAGATGTTTCTTGAGCAATTAGAGAGGCACTTTGTTAAACAGAAGCTATTTTGACTGGCTGAATCAAGGATTAAATTGTGGCAACAGGAAGAATTTCTGCAAAAAACGATGGCTACACGGATTTTCTTGCCAGATGATGAGGAAAAGGTTGTTAGAGTTTTTTACGAAAACATTGGTTGTTTGGTCTTTTAACGGCGACTGCTGTTTTTTCAGCCGTTAGCTGTTTTCAAGTATTTTAAGCCAAAATTGTTTATTTTATCATCTTCCCTTAGGATTTAGGATTTTCTTGCCGCCACACCTTAGTAATTTTTTCTCACTCTTTTGTATCTTGATCTCTCTCTCCAAAATCTGCTTGCCTCTTGACTTTTTATTTTCTTCTCGATTTGTTTTGCTCAATTCGATCTACAAAATCATCATTTGATCTGTCAAAAAAATTGCACTTTTTCTCAATTTACATCCAAATGTCTCGACGCTATCACAAAATTTATGATAATCGATTAATCACTTGCCTAGATGGATCTTTTTGCTGTTGTCCACCACCAAAAGTACAATCCACGTTCTTTTTGATAGTCAATCAATTGCTTGATTTCTTGCTCGGCGTGAAGATATCCACCTCCTTATCTCTATCAATTTTTTCATTCTAAACTCAAATCCATAAGACATACAAATGTCTTGACAACACTTTTTCCACATCTAGTCTTGATTTTGTTTTGTGTGTCATTTGCTCGCAAACAGTACCTGATTTCAAATGAATTCAATCAGTTGACATCAACTAGATTTTGAAAATTTCTAGGTTGAAAACCCAAACCAAATTCTTAATCTAAAAACTGCAAAGAGATATTTTCTCAGAAATGCACAAATATTCATAAATCACAAAAATATACATGGTTTGCCATTCTCAGACAACGTTCACAGTAACGAGGTCTGAACTTAAAAACCTGCAAAGTGTTCACTACCAGCTGTGACTCCCCTTTTTATTTATACAGGGTAGCAAAAATCACTAGTTCTCATTCTTACTAGGAATAAGCTTACATCTAACTCTAATCCAAGTTAGGTTAATTAGAGTTTAGGTTGAGACTTGAGTTAATACTACAAACATCCAATTTTTTGAAGAATATGAATTTTTGGTCTATTATAAATTATATCTTCTAAGGCACACTTGATAAGTGATTCTAGTTGCGTTCAAAACACTAAATTACGTGCAAGCTATACATGGTTTTTGGATACCCCTTCTAGCCTTACTACAATTGAGTTAAGGAAATTTTTTTAAAAAAAAAATTAATGCAATGTCACAATTGCTTTTGGTGGAAATGATCTAGCCTAAAAATTATTCAGATTTATGTTCATAATACTTTCATAACCAAAATATCTAATCGATCTTTGAAGAATTTCTTTTATAGATTTTCACAAATTTTTTTAAAAATAAAATTCTACATGCTTTATATCAAAATCTGTGGGTTGAGCGACGTTTTTTGAAATCAAAATTTTTTAGAATGATCATAATATGAATATATGATTTTTAAACTAGATAACGTTTGAAAGATATTTTTCCACTTGTACATTCTATCAATGCATGCAGCAATCCCAGCTCAATTGGAGCGTATCCGTTCAAAGTGAACTTATGTGTTTGAACAAATTGGACTTCTATTTTGTCAATATTTAATGACATGGTACACTTAACAATCATGTCAAGCACAAGAAAGATATAGTTCAATGTGTTAGTTTAAAGACAACTAACATTGGAATACTTACCAATTTATGTCACATAGTTCAGATGAATGTCAAATTATAGAAGTAAAAGTCAACTTATCTTTTGAGAACTACGTGCACTAGTGTGCTATTTTTGAAGATTTATATATGTTGTAATGACTTCTAACTCATTGGAGTTTTTTTACCAAAGATAGCTCAATTTAAGTTGTAAAAATGCAATCAAAAGCCACATCATCTTGGATGACTAGGAGAGTCTCGTAGACTGGTCTTACCTCAACGTTAATTATCTTTCTAGAATCAGGTACAATATAGAGTTACATCTGCTCAATATCAAGAAAAACATAGAAATCGAATTACGAATTTGGCTATGACAACTATCTTACTTTTTTCATCAGAAGTTATAACATCAAACAATGAAGACTTACAAACCAAACTAAGGTGTCACCTGATTCTTATAATTGGTGAGAAAGATGATTGGCATTGCTTTCTACTGTTAAGCTTTCAAGTTTGGTTATATCTACGACTATGGTTTACCAAAGGTTCTGGGACCAGAATACCTGCACTGCCCGCAACAAAAGTACCTTAAAATCCCAAATTAATTTTAGTTCTGCCAACTTCCTCGTTTTTTCCTTTGTAAGTTTTCAAAATTGCTTTGGCATCTCTAATTTCTCTTTTAATGTCTCCACTCTTGGGATTTTAAACTCTGCTTTTATGCCGTCTTAGCATCTATCCTCTTTCCCATAACACACTCAATAAACCCGTCACGACCTGAAAGTTACTGGTTTCCCCTTCCTGTGCAGATTCCTTTACCATATTCCAGTGAGGCGTCAAGATAAAAACAAAAAGGAATTCCGGGGACATCACATCTTCTGTAAGCCGCGAAGGTCTAGGCTGTGTCCCTTACGACACACTATACACTCGTCACAACCCCTTCTCGGGGGCAGGTTCCCTAGACCACATTTCCGGTTAAAGCTTTCCGAGAACTCACACGTTCAAGGAGAGACCAAAAGGGGCATTCCGAGAATTGAACTCGGGACCTCTTGCACCCTAAGCAAGAATCATACCACTAGACCAAATGCCCTTACTGACTACTGTTAAGCGCAATATAATTTAGACTAAAGTAAAACTCATGACAATCTGATAACTGAGTCTCAATGGTCATTTTCTGGGGAAAGTAAAACCAACGAAGAACAACAGAGGCAAATAGAGGAAAACACGGGAACCCTGGAGGTCATCTTTCACTTCAACAAACCGTAAATATGACGATGACAAAAGTGATACCATAAAAGTCCACATTATGCAAGCAAAGACTTCATCCATTCAATTGAGGTCAAACTTAAACAACGAACACATGGAACTCCTTCCCCACTTACATGGATCGCTTATGAGGTTTCAGACTATACAGATTAGCTTCAGAGTCATGAGCCCTCGGTGCAAAGAAGGTAGAAATTGTAAGGTGATTCTCTAACTAAAGGTATGTTAAATAGGTGACCAAACAATACAGTAAGCCCCAGTGGCTGCTCGTTAAATCGTGGCAGCGTCGTCGAGGACTTTGACTAAAGAGCACATCTGGAATAAGCACAAAAGCAGGGATGTCACTATTTTTTTCCAGAATCATCCTATCCTCATTCTTAACTTAAATTCTACAGTCCTAATGCCGATGGTGAGCCCTGCTCTCACATTGCCAACACAACAAATTATTTATGCAAGTAGGCTACGAACTCCTTTACAAACGAATCAGCACACTTTCTCTAACAAAATTTTCCGATTTGAGCGGCCACATTCCAAGAGGCACAACTGTTTTCAGTGTACACCATGTACATTCCCTGGACATCCTCTGCGCTGAAGTAGATTTAAACTTCTTGCAAGTCTTCCACGGTAGCTTACAACCTAGTTAGGCGATATTTCAACAATTACACGTCGCAGGCCATTAACAAACATCTCCTTATACAAGATAATTTTGACGGGCGATCTGCAACTCGACCCTTCCTTTGTAGTCATCCAGCCCATCTCTTGCTACTCTGATCTGACTGGAGTTCGCTCCATTCATCTCCTCGACAATTCACATCAAGTCCGTTGCTGGTAAAAGAGTATGTACGCAGAGGAACTAAGAACAGCAGAATCTTGCAATGGTGATACAGAAGAATCGTTGAAGCAATACCACACATCGTTCTCCCAGTTCTTGCACTGCGCAGTGTAATGACCACCGCCCAGAGAACCCATGTGGCAGCACACGCCGTACAAGTCATAAATGACTCCCTGCCTCCCAACCCTCCTAGATCTGGATCTGAGAATGTGTCAGTTTGTGGTGTTTGAAATGCTCTGCGTGACGTGGAACGAAGCATACTATCTACCATCAGTTTTTCGTAAACAAGATGATCAGTAAATGTCTGGCTGCAGGATATACAGTACTAATTAGGCTAAGCAGGATATGTTACTCCTACCGAAGCCGAGGTACAGTGTAAGGAAACTTACGACAGGAAGTCTGTTAAGTCAAGTCCTTTCAGTGGGTAATATACTGGAGTATCGTCTTTTTGGTATGAATAACGGTCTGATTTGAAAAAACGCTGCAAGAAACAGCAGCACACGAACCAAGTCATGAATCATCAGTGGGACTTCTGGCTTGGTGGAACTCAAAGCACGTGAAGATACTACAGCAGCTTACTATTTGCTACAGTTTTAGGAGTGAACGGCACCTTCTCAGGAAGGACGTCGTCAGTTACTACAGTAGTAGGATTGTATAACTATGGAACTAGAGCTAGATGGATGGAACAGCCTGGAACTGCAGCATCTATACGGCGTTTCCAGGTGAAAGATACTCTCTCAAAGCCCTGTCAGTTTTTTTTCCCCTTTTTTGTTTGACAGTCCCGTTGCCTCTCCCTATGGTCGAGTACCTGAAGGGCCGTTGGCCCTTTGGGCTTTATGCACACAAATAACGTGGGATGGCTTGTCCAGAGTATAGGACAGCAAGCTGCTATCGATTCCGACCGTGAGGTATCCAAAAATTACAATATGGAAGGAAGGAATGATAGTATTTCTTTAAAAGTTGCTGCTCTCTTTCCAAATCAGTCGCGGGGAGGAGGATTCATAGCTTCAAACCTTGATGTGAAGCACAAGGACGGGAGGCAGTCGGTAAAGTGTTAACTTCTTTATCGATGTCCGAGGAGCCTGGATGACATCAGGAAAAATTTATCTAAGAGATTGAGTTCGAAAATATGTAAATGACATCTGCTATGACGTATATCACTTGGTCCTAAATCTGGATTAAGTTCGCTACAAGTTCATCCCCATACTCATTTACAAACAGACTACAAAACTGTAAAACGGAAATCAAAATCATCTCACCCAACCACTAGTCTTTACGTATCGACAATTAATCTTAGCCACTAGAAGTAAGAAGTACAACTCCAGAAGAATAGTTTAAGTCTACCTTGCAACTTGGACAATAGTATTTATTGCTGCCTTCCAGTTGCTCCGGTGTAACGAACGCTGACAAGCAATCTTGCAAAGTAACTCTTGCTCTGGACTGTCCACCTCTAAACTGATCCCTCATACTGGACTCACCAGCATTTTTTGGAAAAGGCAGAGAGAGGTCCAAAAATGGATCGAAACAGTGAGATTTCCGATGACATGTACAGCACTCAATGGTGCTTTGTAGCTGCCCTGTTGAATTAAGGCAAAAGATTTAAATTCTTAGATGGACACTTAGACAAAGAAATACTGTACGATTCACCACTCAAAAGTCCATCTTTACAATTTACTAAGTACCAACTTTGGAACTGTACATGAGATTCCAAGACACTACAACCTGATCCAAAGAATCCCCCGCCAGTCGATACTCGGTCCAATTAGAATCACTCGTCAGGACACTCAATGTAAGAGCAAGTTGACACATTTCTATGGCAGAAGAATTGACGTGGACAGCGCTTGAGAACAATTGGCTGCTGAGAATACATTGTCAGTGTTTTGTTCTAAAATCGGAAAAAGTGGATGAGTCTTTACCACAAAAAATGTCTTGAATGATTGAGTCCTGACATAGTTTGTGATACCTCCAAGTCAAATCAGCAAGCTCTTCTTCAGGCTTCGGCTCGATGTAAAGGTCTCTGTAAGGTGGAGGGGTCGTAACCTTGTTCAAAGCCTCGTGAAGGCCGTCAAGTATCGCCCTCAACACTTCCTAAAAATGGAGATCCACACAATCTGAGCACTCCTAGAAAGAAAAGCATCTACAGTATACAGTGTCCAGGTAATATGAGACGGCTGACGTACTCAAATCCCAACATCCAAAGACTAGTCAGGCATTTGTGATTGACAAGATAGAGACACACCTGCGCATCATGTTGCGAATGACCTGCAAATTGCGGCGCCCAAGCCTGCACACATTGAAGAAACGTCCTGGCACTTGTGGCGGAGAATGCCGGCCTTTGCCAGAGATCCCTTACGACCTGCCTAAATGAGTACGCTAGCAATTCTGTCAAACTAGAGAAATCCCTCTCGGAAGAACCTGCTCTCATACCACTCCCCCTCCTCTGCATAAGTTCTTGAAGAGGCCCCTGGATACTCGATGCAAGAGGAAGCGAGTGGGCCAAACACTGCAAGCAACTATTCAGGTAGCACGTGTTTCCTTCATTCATAAGCCCAACCAATCCCGCAACTCCCATTCCGGAGCGGCTCCTAGCAAGCGTAGAGTCTCGAGGGGCACGAGAATCTCCAGAACTAGTGCTCATAAGACTTCCCCTCTCGAAGCTAGATGAGTTACTCGGTTTCTTTTCGGAACTTACAGGTAACTTTTCATCGGATGCGGATGATCTTCTTGCTCGATCAGATCCCAGATTCATCTCAGTCAACCTGGAATTGAGAGAAATGGGAGAGATAGATCCTGATGAAGAACAGCTGCTCGCATCATTGTTCGTCTCACCTGTGACTCTATGTTTGTCTCTACGATTTTCAACAATATCGGCGGACTCGCGCGAACTCTCTGAGGATGATGAGTCTGTGATGATGATTGGGACTTCGGGCACGTTCGAGATCGCAGGCTTTTTGCTACTTGGCTTACACGGCGTCTTGGAAGAGGTGGAAAGTTCATAGGGCCTTTCACTTCTCTGAGAACGTTTTGCGATATTGTTCGTGTCAGTCGATAGTGATGTTTGAGCATCAACCGCCGCTGACTTTCTTCTGCCACGCAAAAGCTTCTCGTCAGCCTTGTCCGCACCTCTACACCGCTCGGGCACGAATGCGCTGGAATCTGACTTCCTTCGTAAGTCTCTATTAGAAGAGGTAGTGGAGAGGGCAGCCGCAGGAGTCACAGTACTCCGACCTCCAGGCAAACCAATCTGGTCCTTTACGGCATCTCTGCCACCATAAACTTTGGGCCCAGGAAACAACGCGTCTATCTCCTTGGATATACTGGATCGGCGTCTTGAATCCTCCCTATCGAGGTTTCTAGAGCTTGCACTTCTTTGAACCTCAGGCTTCCGCTCACGGTTTCCTCCTCCCCCTAATCCTCCTCCCAAAATACGAACAGGGCTGTTTTTGTTGCGCTCTTCCTCGTAAGGTATCCTCTTGTAAGCCAGTGGTAAAACAATGGAATCGCTCCCTTTCATACTACATACCCTCTGCTGCCCTGGGCTGCTACTGGCAAGCGCTTTCTCTTTTCCTCTCTCTTTCTCTTTGACGATTTGTGAGCTAGTTGGCTCCGCCCGTGATGTCCTCCGCGATTTATTGGTCGTGCCAGAGGAGGCACCGAATTTCTCCCTGTAATAAGCGAACCATTTGTTGTCCGATTTTATCTCTTTGAGAGGCAGCCCCTCCTTTTTATTCTTCGATAGCATGTGAAAGTCTTCACATAGCGGTCAAAGTCTCAAACGGTGTACTGGAATCTCAACCTTCGGCAATTTGTGTATTCCACGAGTCATGGTCCCCGCAAATTGTCTTACCGTCACTCTCTAGAACTGGAAAGTAAGTGAAGAACAGAGCATTCAGCAGTACATATTTCCCGGTCCGACCGAGAAATATGGAGCACCTGAATGAACCGTTCCTCATCTCTTCTATGACAACGACCACTCTAGAAGGTCTGGGATACCAGACAGGAACATCTTGCCCTAAGCTTCTTCGTCTACGAAAAACGTCAATACAATCAACCGCGGCATTTCATATCCACCAAATGCAATGGAAAGTCTAAAGTTGGAATTGATTCTTGTGAGATGAAATCTGCACTTTCCATCCGCTTCCCGAAACTCTGACCACGCTGCATTCCACCGCTCCAGCATACGCAAATCACACGCATATGCCTCCAGGAGCGTTATCAATTAGCCGATTCGATGACATCGGTTCGCGCAGAATCCGTCTGATGACCAGTTCCGATTGACCGACTGACCCAACCTTCTCGCTCGAATTCGCAACCCCTCGACTCGCCCAATTCCACACCTTGCTACTCCTCAGAGACAACACGATCCAGCAAAATCGTGGGGAAAATTGCGGGTAAGCAGACGCCAAAAAATCCGCCTCTGTCGAGTCCTTTCTCTCTCAAACCCTAGCACAGCATACGCTCGAACTCAAGGACATTTGTACAAACACCAGCGCTGGGCTCCTCAGAAGACACCCGACTACAAAGCGCCTCGATCTCCACAACACAACAACAGCATGAACATGAACATGAACATGACACGAACACAAGCACGTACCAAACAAACACCCGCTCCTCTTGCGTCCGCGGGACGGGATCAAACTCTCCTCCACTTCAATTTCACAACTGTCTGCGCCCTCACCTGCCTGCCTGTCAAATCAGAGGGACCATACCTGTCGACGATGCTGCTGCCACGAAAATCGAACCCTCAAATTGGGCCTCTCGGCTCGTCGGAGAAAAGACGGTCTAGTCAGCGGCGAGTGTCGTGAACGGGAGAGGCACTCGGTGGCTGCTCCTGGCCATAACCGTCGGGGCGTCAGTGCGTGACGGTGAAGCCAATTGTCCTTCACAGCGCTAGATCTGCTCCTCGTCGTCCCGATCGACCAATCATCCCCTGCACGACAAAATATCAGTTCGTTGATTTCCGGAGGCGGCACTCTCTCTTGCTTCATTGATTCGTTGAGTTTCCGGGGTTTATGTTGTTGGGCATGACGAGTCTGATTCAGCCTGCCTCAATTTCGCTGAGAGTAGGTTTGCGTATGGGAATTGATTAGCTCTGATGAACTGGAGTGAGCCTCTATTCAATCATCTCAATTTCTTTCAGAGAACATGCCACGGTTATATCTCAGCTTGATCAGGTTAAATTCACATGTAGTTGAATGTGCAGCCGTGTTTTCTGAAGACATTTTGCGGTTGGATTCTAGTATTGTTTCTCTATTTTCCACAAATCTCATTTCAAGAGTGTTTATTCTACTCATGTCGTATCTGAGAAGAATGTTCATGGAAAAAGATCCATCGTCACGAGCGGTTGCCATATATGAAATAATCCATAACTTTTGAGAAGAAATGAAGGCAACTTCATAAGCAGTTTCAAATCCTCTAACCCGGAGTAAGTTCTATGTTTTCAATTTTCAGTACGACAAAGAATGGCGCAATATTCAATATAAGAGAGTGGACAACATATTGAAATTGTAGGTATATCGACACAATTGCATGACTCTATTCCAATACATGGTCAAAGATAGGTAAAGAATAAATTTCTTGTAGTATATCAAGAACATAATATCTCTCTAGAAATAGTACACTTTATCCAAGTTTCTTGCATGGATATGATTATCAAGTATATGCACATATACAAACACTAACTAGGACTATAAAAAAGTTCTAGTATTTATCAACTAACCAAATCCATGAAAGTTTTTTATAATGAGTCTACCTTGCATCAAAACTGAAAAAAGACGAAACTTTTCAAAGTCAGCCTTCTTTGAAACAATCCAAAATCTTAATCTCATCAAACACACCATGATCTTCATATGAAAGATGGTCAAATGCAATACACTGCATGTGAAGTAAAAATAATATGAATCAGATAAACATGTCAGCCAGAGTGGATGTAACAAATTCAACCTCTTATGATTAGTCATTGTGATACTTTTTATAGTGCATAATATACTAGAGTATCAATCTATTGCATTGAAAATTAAGATGTATACATGAATGGAATTTTCACACTTAATTTTATCTACGCAAGTTTCAAAAAGATGTACGCAAACTGTCAGTAAATCAGATGATTTAGCTATGTATACCAAATCTAAACTCACATGTCATAAATCATGTTCTTTTTAGTTTGACTTATAACCAATTTACATTCAGTAGAAGTGAGATAATTCACTTTCACCATTCCTAGAATAAACTATATACATGTAGTGCAATCATATAAATTATTTGTATTAAAAAAGTACCTTGCAACAATGACAACGTGAATAGTATATATTAGATAATATTTGATCATTTTCATCATATGCTTGGATGTTCATTCATTTTAAATTCATTCGTCTTTCAATCATACCGAAGATGTTTATTCACAAGTCATGATTGGATATAAATTGAAATAGTTGATATGTGATCATGACATTGTGAATAGTGTGGTAAATTTCCAATATTTATGCATATGAAGATAATTTTCAAATAGTTCAAAAAAAAACTTACATATTTATTGTAAAACATGCAAGAATATTAATTTTATTATATAAAAATTTCAAATATAGAAATTTAAATAAAAAAGTAGAGTATGTATAATGATCTACAATACCAAAAGATTTACTTTGCTGAATCAAAATGCATTTCAATCAAAAATATTAATTTTTGATCAATTTCTAAGGTTTTTAGACTATCATCATGAATTTAAAAAATTATATTTTTTTGAAAAAAATTACTTTTCATATCCAAAATTTATTAAATTTATTTCCATATTATTTCAAGTATAACATGAGTAAAAAAAATTATTGATGAAGAATTTTTCCATTTGACGAAATTTATGAATCTGAATGAAAAAATAAAAATTTAAAAATTTTGCTTATTGAAACGATGACTGTTCACAATTAATTTGAAAATGAGTGTGTACTTTTTATTTCTTCAATGAAATGAAATTTTATGATGTAAAATATTTTTTGATCAGATTAAGTCAAGAAGAACTTATCAAACAGATATACCTGACAACATAAACTGATAAACAAGATCTTTTGTATATTTTATATTTTTTTATAGATTATGTAAATGTTATATCTTTAAAAAATCTTAAACTTCAGAATAAAATAATTTTTTATCTAAATAAAATAACTAAAACAATTCAAGTGATGAAGATGCATTTATTTTAGTATTTATAATAAATTAAAAATTTTTATTTATTCAATTACATTATAGTTCATAATGTAACATGTAAGAACATGCTAAACATGATATATGTCATGTTCAACATGTCCTTGCATATTCCAAGCATGAAAGATATATTAAATATGTAAAGACATGAAGACTGATGATAGATGTTGAAAATAACACACAAACTGGTTTGAACTGAATTGATTGAAAAAAGTGACTAATATTGAAGCATTATTTCATCTTGTAAGCTTATCTGAATATTTACAATGAGCATATTAAGCTTTCTTTTATTGATGAAAATTAACTGATGTTAGGATAAAAAACAATACATGTGTTAATGTCTACAGAATATGTTGGATATGATCATGACGCACGCTATGATTTGATAAATACATGCACGACGTACGCTAAGATATGATGAATCGTGTAGTTTCTAAATTTATTAATGACTTTGATTTGATTGTATTTGGTTTTGTATGTCATAATTATAGATTAAGTGTCATAGTGTGAATTTGAAAGTTCTAAAATATGTTTTTCTTACATTAATGTTTATCGATATGATTCAAATTTTGTTATGATGCAGAGTGTAGACTACAAATTTTGTACAATACATTTAATTTTTTTAAATTTAAAATTAAAATATGCATGTCAAATTTGAATATACATTTTCGATTTTAAACAGTCTCTCATTCATTTTTGAATAAAATATTGAAAAATATTAATGTATTGTAAAAATATTAACGTATTAATTTTATAATCGTCTGCACTTTTTCACTTAATCACCCACTCTCTCGTACGATCTATATAATCTTAAAGTATCTAATGTTAATATCCTACTTTGTAACTAACATAGATTCGACGTAACCAACGTTCACCACAGCAAACAAATCCCTAATGGCATTGTTACAAAGGTGCATAGTATACATTTTTTCTATCAATAAACTCTGCAAGCGAGGAAGCCACATCACAAACCATGATTCCACCCACTCGAGCAATAAAAGAGGAAATCGGGTGCCAGATTCCAGCTGCTGTACGACCACGATATCCTTTCCAGGAGAAAACGACATCGATCGACGGCCACACTCACACATTGGTTAACAGAGCGTGCCTCTGGGTCTCTGACAAAGGGCGGGAGAACGTGTTGTGAACCATCGGTATGCAGGCCCAATCATTTCCGTTCTTCACCGAGTTCTTTTAGCCCGATGCTGCTCCGGACGGTTCTTTTAGCGCGAGAGAGCGCCACAGTTGTTCTCGTGTCGTCGCAGCGAACGAGGAAGACAGTGTCGCCAGTCCAGAGCCCAGAGCTGTGCACGACCGCAAGGCAGGGGCGACGAAATGCCTCACGGACGGTCGATAGATCGCCCGCTCGTCATCCCGATCCCGATTCGATCCCGGGAGCAGTCTGAGCTCACGGCCGCCGTGATCGCGGATCGATTCGCCTCGTGCCATGGAAATTTCCCACCTCCGCTGCGCGAGCGAGCAGTACTCTGAAGTGTGAACCAATTGATCCTCGCCCACCTCTGAACTCGCGAGCCAGCGAGCAGAGCGAGGAAGAGCTAGTGCTGCCGGAGCTCAGGGCGCTTGACGATGGGGTTCGATGTCGGCGGACGGGCGGGGAGATCGAAGTCGTGCCAATGGCTCGAAGCACACGGACGATGGTGACTGGGGCGGAATCGGAAGAGCGGGAGCTCTTCTCGTGTCGCTCGCGGGGGTGCTGGGATTTGGGAGGAGGCGGTGCTGGAGCTGCCTGCGGAATCTGACAGTAGTTTTAGCTGAGAATATGTTGCTGAGACGTGAGGCGAGGCCCGGCGGCGGTGGTGCCATGAATTGGGGCAGACGGTTGAGTGCGGTGCTTGTGGGCGATCGATCCAGAATTGGGGGCTCGAGAACGAGGTCGAATTGATGGGGGTGGCTTTGCAAGCAGGAATGCTGGCCGGGGGCGTAGTTTTCGTACCAATGGCGCTCGCCGGTTGGCACCTCACGCGGAATCGCGTGCTCTTCTTCAGTGCTGCCCTGTTCATCGTGCTCGCCGTCACTGTGCATCTGTTGCCCTACTTTCCTAGCATGTCTTCGATGATTTATTCTATACATTCTCCATGGCCCTATCCGGGGGTTTTGGATTCATTACCCCCGAAACTGACTCCTGTTAATTGCGTCTCTCATCTCCATGACCTCGTGTGGAGAGACGGAGAGCCTAGGGAATTCATGTCCAGCACTGCTGGCAATGTTTCCACCTTTCGAGACTTCGACTGGGAACCGACGGGAAGGGCAGCGGACAAATGTAAATTTCAGAAGCTGAACACGGAGGATATGGTGGAGCTTTTCCGGGGCACTTGGATTGTTGTGGCGGGGGATTCTCAATTGCGGTTTTTTTTCCTCTCGTTACTTGACCTCCTTATGCCGGATGATAATCCCATCAATCAGCGGCCTATGGAGCGGCACACTAGTTATGAGCACACTTGGGAGGAAGAGAATATCAGGTTGCAGTTTGTGTGGGCACCTTTCAGCGTCAATTTGACTCGACTAGTCGTCGAGTACCGCCATAATCATACTTATCCTGACGTGCTTGTAATGGGTGCCGGATTATGGCACATGCTTCACCTGACGAATTCCTCCCACTACGGCGAGTCTCTTTCGCAGCTGCAGAGAGCCATAGTTTCTCTTTTCCCCTCATCCTCCTACACAAAATCTCTTACATCCGCAAACGTTGTAGATACTTGGTCCAAAACTACGTTGCAAGTTCCACACATGTTCTGGCTCAACTCTCCGGCCTTGATACGGTCCATGCTCAACACTGAGAGGAAGCGGGAACGAATGACAGCCGAAACTTCTCAATTGTATGAGGACGAGCTGCGGAAGAGTAAGCTCGTCCGGCCAGAGGGCCCTATGACTCTAGTCAACATGAAAAAACTCAGTCAAGGTTGTGGCCCTTTCTGTACTATAGATGGCATGCACTACAACTATGCGACCTATGAGGCTGCCGTGCACGTGGTGGTCAATGCTCTTCTTATTGCAACGCAGCAATCACCTGCCACCTGAATGTACCGCGTCTCGATGAGTTTTCTACCACATTCTTTTTCTGGGAAATCCCAAGATACTCCTTCATATACATGATAAGCGTGGTAGTTTACTGTGGAAGAAGAGAATGAAACCTTCGAAAGTTATGCAGCTCAATCTCGAATGCAGATGTGGACTCGGAAGTGGCATGCGTTTCTGCAGTTTGCGGAGTGGACTTGTAATTCATCAAGTTCATCTTGAAGTGTGAATATTAGAGCAACTACGAGGTCAATTGACCGGACATTATGTGGACACAGATTCAGTTGAAGGCGCCAGATTGAATGCTTACTGCGGGAATGCTCATGTTGTGAATCCATCGAGGTCATTGCTTCTGTCCAGCTCAGTAATTATTGCCATTAGTTTCTTCATAGGCTGTAGGTTTCTCAATACATGCACTTTATCAAGTATTTGTTCAAGTAATAAATCGTCGACACGTGTAGATCAAATTACAAGTATTGAATGCTGTGTCCTTCTCGTTGAAAGTTTTATATGCTCATCTTGTGATAGGTTGAGCGACGTGCTGGAACAGTTACAAGCAGTTGCTTTATCGTACCGACACGGTTGAAAGATACCGGATAACCATCGTATGCGTTCTTATCTTGCGACAAGGCTAATATGCTGCTTGTTTTATACTTCCGTGGATACAGTTACCTCCATATAGTTGTTAGTATGAAGATTATGAATAAGACGATGAATTTTCTCACAAGTTGGGTTTACTGGCTGCAGCAGCCAGTCCAATTGTGGCTAGTCAGGAAGATGCTAGAGGTGATGAATAGAGACTTGTGGCAAAGACTGCTTGCTAGTTCATACAGAAACATCAACCTGGTTGTGGACCCTTTTCTGACTTGTAACGGTCTTCCTGTGACGTGCATAAAATATGAAGTGATAAGTCCAAACCTCATGAGCGGAACTCTGACATAATGCCCACACTTTACTACTCACCCAACTTGTACGAATGACCGTGAGGACATTGTGCTGAGGTCCTGTGCAGTGTGACTTCTCTAATTGCATCCACTGTCATCCTTCTGTTCCTCGTATCAATAGTTACTATTTATCGTAATTGTGTATTTTCCTTTGGAACTTCAGGCTCTAATTGTGTTGTGATTGTGGTGCAGCCAATGCAACATTCATACATCTTCCGCTTCACGAAGGGCCAGTTGATCGTTACATGCTTTTAAGTTCTTGATGCTTGATCATCTTCTGACTATTTGTTTATTTATCGTCATTTCCGCTGAAGAAATTATCTGCTCTTTCTCTTGTTCCATCACTCCCAAGGTAATATGCTGTGTCAAATATGTTGTGACTGCTGATTTATAGCATTATAGTTGAATCTTGTCCCACAGGAGGGGCCCAGTTCCGGATTTAGTCTTTCTTTTCACGTTTCTAAATCAACTTGGAGATTCAATTATAAAGTGAAATCTATTTTCATTTTTGAAGGCTTATGCTGGACGCTCTATCCAGGACTGTAACTGGTGTTAAACGCAATTGAAGTTACTGATCGGATAATCTGTTTCTCCAATTGTCTTTTGTCTATTCACTGCATTAGGCTCGTGACACTATTTCTCTGAAGGACCGACTGATTCCAACAGAGTGTCGAGTGCGTGGAAGCTTCAGTTTGAGGTGTTAGTGGGTTTTGTGAAAGAGTAGGACAGTCGTGCCGGTCCTTGAAGTATGAGAAATGATCAATTAAACTTTGTTTTTTTATATCATGACTTGCTGTTTGCAACAAGAATTAGCTCTGTAAAATTTATAATTGTGGTAGCTGATAATCTGAGAGAAACGTATTCGTAGAAGCAGTTGACTGAACGTGCTCGACAGGCCTGTCTTTACTAAAACCATTTAGATCAACGCGGTCAGCAGCCGTGACATTGTAGTCCCTCCAGTCAGTTTCTGACTGAAAGGTCTGCTTATTTATCAAGGTAGAGTCTGAAGAAAACAGGTGCACATCCGATTAGTGGTGACAATTGGTGTGCATACTGGGCCTTTTTAAGCATTTGCCAGAGAAACTTCAGTTGCTTTTGCAGCGAAGGTACAGGTAACCATTTATAGTTCGGTGAAATGGTACAGAGAATATCTTGCAGTACGGCTAAATAGCCAACGTTCAATTCTACACAATCGTCCCGTAGACTTAGACTTCGTACTTGTCTCTATTTATTTTCGTTTCGGAAATCCAAAACCATTCTACAGGTTTATCCAGCAAAATCTTTAGTGAAATTTGTACTATACGAAGCATGTGATTCGGCTCACACCTTTCGACCGACAATCCTTCAATTAAATAGGCAATCACTGACCAAGAGTGTATCACAGAACAGCAGAAGTCAATCTAGCATGAAACTTTGGAATGGTGTATCTCCTCACCCCAACACCTCCGGCGAAAATAATATGTGACAGCAAGAGCTAAAATCAGATGAAATAAGAGGATCTATCTGAATTATCTGAACTGACATACGGAGACATAATGATTTGTGATGAAATTATTGAAGTAAGAGAAGCCACAATGCGAGTGAAGGCCAAACACCGGCTAGTATGGAGGAAGGTTTTCGAGTAGTACCAACTGTTTTCAATGGAATTCCTTCCGTGCCGAGGTTTTAAGTGTTATTATTTAGGAAAATGTTGTTTCTTCCTGACAGACAATTTTACAATCTTGATGGTATCCCCTAATGCTAGTACTTCGATTCGATACAAACCATGTACGTTTGTTTGTGCGTGTCCATGATGACCGGAAAAGAATGACCGGAAAACCCTAATGACCGGAAAAGAATGATACAATTTGTGGCATTCAGAATCCTTAATCTGTTTTGCTCAATTTGAAATGAATGTCAAAGTTGTTTATCATGTAAACCTCTTCTGGTTGTCTTTTACTGTTGCCACATATTGTATGTCTTCTGTACTAGCTCTCTGCTCCCAATTACTTCCATCTTTTCACTGGGACTATGGTACGGTAGTGAGTTAAGTCAAAAGGTAATTGAAAGGTATACATAATGAGAATTGAAAATGTTATTTTCGACATCAATTATATTAGAAAAATATTGCACATTTGAGTTTTGGTGTCACCGCAAAGAGTAATGGTTGACAAGCTATGCAGTAATCAGCGATAAACGTATTTTCAATCACACGATCTTTTTGTACTCATATTTTCAAGCACAAAGTTGAGTATATATATTCGCATACCAAATTTAAGCATTACAAAAAACTCGTAAAAGTACATTCCATCATCATATCAACCAAAATATTAAAAGACAGGCATACATTAAGTTAAAGAATTTACTTCGCTTTGAAGATCTGATTGATGATCACCAATTTAAAGGAAGTACTACAGTATAAGAGGGTCGCCATGTTTCGAGGCGAAGGTCGTGAAGCTTGACAGTAAAAATAATTGGCAATTTATTAATTTACTCAGGTTGTATTCAATGTGAAAAGAAAGGACTTCCATTTTTCTTACATACATTTTCCAGTTATAATTTTTTGATAAAGGTTTGGTAAGTTTTCTCGCATCTAGAACTACTCAGATCCGAATTATTCAAGCCGAAATTGAACAAACTAATCTACCCGAGCATAACTTTTGTTGATTTGCACTAGATAGTGTTCTTTTACGACCAATTAATACACATCGGATGAAAAAGTGTTAGTGAAGTAACATCATCACGAGATATTCCCTGCTTTGTATATTTATCATCCAGATTGCAGGCAGATTCCGAAACATCAAGGTATAATTCAAATTTATGAATGCGTGTGCACTCTACCGTAATGATGATTGTCTGGTTAATGCAGTGCGTGTTTCTTCTTCTCAGTAGTTGTCGCTTCCATGATCCTTCGTCTGCCTCATTCACCTAAATACTCAGGTTAGGGCAGGCCTCGTAAGGCTTGGGAATTACCATAATTATCAAGATTAATTGAAAAATATGGATTCTACTAATTTTGGTAAATCAAAATATTGCCAAAATTACTAAAAGGACAGGATGCAGACATGCTATTATTCGATCATGGACCTGGTCTAGATTTAACTTCCTTAAATTTACACCATCGTTTTTGTCTTGGGGGCTTTGAAATGTATTACGAACTAATTGAAAATAAACATCGAGAGATAATGAACATACAAGTGTTCAACTTCAACTATTTTTCTCGGATTTACTTTCGAAGAGAATGGATGTATTGGTTATAGCATCCATCTATTGGTTATAGTACCTTTTGGTGCTAAAACTTTTCATAAAAAGTTTTAGTTTGCACCGAAAGGTGCAAACTCAAGAGTCTTGTCTAGGATGGACCGTCACTGAACTACCCTCGCAAGACGTCACGTTCCAAAAGAACTAACACGATTGCCCTGGACAGAGCGATCTTCTTAAACTCTGAAAATACTCTTATTAACTTGACCTTGCATTCAAATATTCTATTAAAAAAAGTTCGAATAGTTGAATTTGAATTCAAGAAACAGAGTACGCACATGAATAAAACTTATAATAATTTTTGAGTATGTGGCGTATTACTAATGGCAGCAAAGTCAAATTTGTCTCGAATTACACAAATATTACCAAAAGACATGCATGAGTACTTAATTTATGGACTCCGCGAGATTTAATTCTTAGATTCGGGAAACAAATCCCAAAATTTAGGAGGTCTGGCTTAGGGACTTGTCCCGTCAACATCACGTATGTTTGGCCTATCTTTTCTCAAAACTGCTAGTATGCATCTTGAGGGACGAGTTCTGCATCTCAGGACAATCTTCGCTGGTTATGAATGCTGAGGAGTCTCTGTTGTTGTCCGTACAGCGCTCCAAATCAAAGTCTCCCATCCCTCCAAGCCAGCTATCTCTATTCAATGGTTTGTACCTGGAGTTGTGATCTACGGTACTTAAAAGCTCATAAAGATCCACTCGCAACAAATCGTTCGAATCCTTGTTGAACGTCAAGAGTTATGAGTACGTTACTGTCTCAAACGATTTGTAGGAGTGTACTGTGTAACTTGCAAGACAGGGATGATGAACTAGACAGCCGCCAGACATATTCATCACTCACATCCAGATTCCGGGGATTTTCTCCCATTCCTGTTTCCAGGTACACATCACCATGGGCCTTCAACAAAGTTTCCGTACTGAAAGTCTGGAAATACGTGATAGCTCAAAAACCATAGGAATACCTCAACTACCCATTTTTAAATGAATATTCAAAGGGTGAGATGGACGTATTTTAAGCACTGAAAACTACCACGGTATATCAAAATGGGAACTAAAATGGAAAACGAGGTGTGATCCAAGTTAAAATTATATGACTTATTATATATGAGAGTAAGCCATAATCTTATTTTTCGTCGGGGTCTTTATATCGTTTCAGGCATATACAGTACTAGATTTTTTTTTCCTTTTGCAACCAAAGGTTTTGCAATATTTCAATCATGTTATATTATATTAAATTGTTTCAACTTAATCAAATGAAAATCAAATATATGAAAATAATGTA